TGTGTGTGTGTGTGTGTGTGTGTGTGTGTGTGTGTGTGTCTGTGTGTCTGTGTGTGTGTGTGTGTGTGTGTGTGTGTGTGTGTGTCTAAAAGAAATTCAAGGACAAAATGACAAAATGAAAACTTGAGTCCACACTGATGATTCTCACTGATTTAGTTTTGTAGCAGAAGAAACTTCTTGTCTCAGCTGTAACAACACATGTTCTAAATGAGAAACACTCAGTGTTTCAATGTTTCCTCTTTTACCATGAAAAGGATCAAAAGACAAAGATGCCAAAGAGAAGATATCAGCAGGTTCAATCTACCAAACCAGAAGAACCCACGAGAGGCAGAGAGGAATCAATGAACGGTAAAGAAAATGAAAAAGGACACAAACAAGAGAGAAACTGTGTTGACTCTGCTGAGGTCAAACACAAAGGAGAAGAAGAGTGAGAGTGAAAGAGTGAGTTCCATGAACAGGTTCTATATCCACTGAAATTAATCAAGTGTAATATGATAAACGTGATCAACATGATAAACATGTCCATAAAGATTTGGCTTGGGAACCGGAGGGTTGCCGGTTCAAGTCCAGCATGGACCATAAGCATGGGAGGTGGACTGGTAGCTGGAGAGGTGTCAGTTCACCTCCTGGGCACTGCTGAGGTGCCCTTGAGCAAGGTACCATACCCCCCAATTGCTCAAGGGGGGCGCTTCTCCTGGGGCTGCCCATCACTCTCTTGTGGGACTGGGTTAAACTGCATGTATAAAATGTAAAAGGAATTTCTTGCGGGATTAATAAAGGAAACTTAACTTACATGATCAACATGATCAACAAACACTGTCGCTGGGACCATAAACACCTAGAGAAGAATCACTGGTGTGATTAAAGAAACTAGTCTTTACTACTTTAATCAGTGAACACAAGACTCACAAGAGTCGCACAACAACTTTACCTCAACACAACAAGTTAACCTGCAGTTTCCACTGCAGCCTCTCTGCTGTGTGTGTCTGCGTGTGTGTAGCATGCTCTGACAGAGCAGACAGGCAACGTGACCATAAACAATAAAACAGAAAATCCATAAGTAACGATCAATGTTGATGTTGTGCTGCCAAAAATAGATGAGTGAACTGGGAACACTGAGAAAGTTTGAAATATTGATGTTGATGCTCTTTCAACGCTGACGTCATTGATTACGAAGACTAGCTGCATCTGGACTCAGTCAGAACCAGAGGTAAAGACTCCTCAGAGGTAAAGACTCCTCAGAGGTAAAGAC